CGTATTAATTAAAAAACAAAACAAAGAAACAACCCATATATATATATATATAAATAAAAAAATATATATATAAACCTAAAGAGAAGCCCAGGCAACGTATAAACGAGATAATTTTCCCTGTCTCCCTATGCTCTGGGAAGCTAAACCAGGACAAGTGGGTGGCCTAGATGTATTTTTTATTTGATATTTTTTCTCTTTTCCTTTTTTTTGCATTCTGCCCTGTACATCTTCATTTGAATGGGTTTTGCACAATTTTTCTTTTTTTAGGGGCATTTTTTTCTTCCCTGATCTCCCAGATTATTTTTTTTCGGTGGGCTTACCCTCTCTTTCTCCCCCCCTCTCTCTCTCATTCTCTCCCAGAGACTGTAAACTAACTTATTAGGCTTGCAGCTAAGGTTTCAAACCTCTAACCTGCAAAGGGGATCAAAAGTAATTAATATTACTTGACTCGTCTTTGCTAAGAATGCTGACTTGAGGACCAGAACTCCCCAATACTGATTGATCTGTGTATTAAGATCACCTCTCCGTAGTGCTCTGATGCTGTAAGGGAAATGGCTCTTTGTTCTAGTGCTGAGCAGCCAGATGCTGCATCTCACTTCCCACTTATATTCCCGTGGGAAGAGAGAGCTAGATAATGACAATCTCATTGGCTCACCACCAGAAATATCTATAGGAGTCTATAATAGCTTCAGCAGAAGCAAGAGCGTGTTGCAGAGCCAGAGGATCTCCCCGTCAGCCATCATTGTAGCTGGAGACACTTGGGAATAATTATGCCTCACTTTTGAATTTTAAAAAGGCAAAGGATAAATAGCGTTTGTTCTGCACCCTCAGATACATCAACCCGGGACTGATGGGCTGTGATGCCTTTCACAGGTAAAGTTCTACTTTCCTATGTGTCTCGTGTAAGGCTGTTTATCTGCACTGCAAAAATGCATTTGTAAAGGTAGAGCGGCTTGTCCCTGCACTATTTCTTAAAGATGTGGGCTTTGGTGTCGATGAAATGCCACACAATTCTTTAAGGATGCAATGATAAAAGCCACTTTGCAATTTAGTTTTCCTTTCTCACTCAATTCCTTTCTCCGCTGGTTTGGTGCATCACATCAACAAACCCCTCTGTTCCCTTGGCTTTGGGATGAGAAAGTCGTCATTATTTTATATCAGTAACTGCATTTTATAACAGTACTTGATGCTGAGCATTGTTTCAGTGATTTACGTCTCTCTTATGGTGTGCTTTTGATGTGCTTCAGGTTATCCTTTACAAAGGGTCATTTCCCGAAGATGGCTGAATGTGCACATTTCCATTACGAAAACGTGGACTTTGGCAACATACAGGTGAGTTTCAGATTTCTTTTATACACAAGACATCATTGTGTTTGGCTGCCAGCTAACCTGCTGGGAGAGGTGGTAGAGGGACCTCCACTGAGGTTTGTTTAGTTTGTTGCAAAATGTTTAGCGCTAAGAAGTTAGAGCAATAGGGTCTCTTTATTTGGAATTGCTTCCGTGTACTGGGCCAGAATCTGTCCTCAGCCATGTGGCCACCCCTTTGGGGTTGGAGATGATTTTATTTCCACTGGATTGGACCGATGTCACTGTTTTAAGACTGCATCAAACATTCATTATTGAGTCATCTGTAATAACTGCATGCATATTTTTAGCTTGTGTGTGTGTATCTTTAAACAGTCGTGTGAACGTATTTATGTAAATATAAATAATTCAAATTTATCCGTTTTCTTCATGTTATCTTAGCTCTGCATTGTGCATTGCAGCAGCTGTGTCATCAGCATACAAGAAATTGCTAGTCAGCCTGAGTTGCATTTCTAGAAGTGTGGAGGCTTCACTCCTTTGTGATCCATCCATCAGAAATGTAGGCAGAAGCATTTTTCATTGAGCGGTACCGGGGAGGGCTGAGAATCAAGAATCCCTGCTAGTTTCTCATAAACAGGGCACATCTTGTTCTGCACTTAGAGAAGCAGGAATGCCTCCAGCATCTGCCAGCCTTGTACCCAAAAAGAGGTTACAACCTTTTCATTTGTAAAACATTTCCTGTAATATAGAGTGAATTATTTACAGCCTTTCATGTTTCTGTACTTGACAGTTTTGCAAGCAGAATTATGCATCCTTTTTTTCCGTCTCTGAAATTCCTACTGAGAAGCAGTTTGGGTCCTATTCAGGGCTCGTGTCTACTATTATTCACACTTAGTGGCTCTAAGGTCCATTCTACTGAGCATGGGATGTATGTGCATGGGCAGACACACACACACACACAAAAGCAGAGCAAGTTAGACAAAATAGTGGTCTTAAGAGGACACCAGTGTAAAAAGCTCAGTTCTTAACGAGGTCTCTGGAAGATGGGCTGCTGGTGCAAACAGGGCCAGTCCTCAATCTTTTGAAGCAAAACTGTGTTTCTTTATTTTCAGTTTCTGTGTATAGGAATAGTGTGACTAATCTATGTCCCAATTTTTTGTCTCCTGGTAATTTTCTGATTTGACACCACTAATTTTTCAGTCATTTTGGAGAGGAGTTGTATGTTGGAGTAGGTGTTGAGCAGGTTTCTGGTTTTTGCATCGTGCGGTCCTCTGAGTTTTCCTTTCCATCATTCAGAGATATTCAGCACAATGTGCAAGCTAGAGGGAGATTACAACCTTTGCATGGCACTGGTATTTAAAGCATTTTGAAGACAAATAAGTTAATTCTTTTGTGGGTTTAAGCATTTCTTGGAATTTTTTAAGGATGGCAGGGCATCCTTGTGGGGTTGGTATGCTGAGATTTTTGTGTTTGTGAGAGGGAGAAGCAAAATCAGATAATATATTCTTTACAGATTTTCTTTATGTTGTTCTGCCAACAAACCCGAAGCATGTTCTGGTGGGAAGGTTCCACAAGCAGGAGCTGGTGCTGTCTAGCACTCATTTTTGTGGTGTCATTGCTGCACCTGCAGCTTTCCGTGCTCCTGCTCAGTTGTCCTGTGTGTTGTGCCCTCTGGCACAAACAGATCACCAACTGCTGTAACCAGAGGAGTGGTCTGGCTGAAACACAATAACCGGGGAAGGATAGCTCAAGAAGAAAAAGTAGAATTGGTCAGCCGGGTCAGGCCCCTGAGCTGTTTCCTCTCATGGTGTCTGTGCTGTGAAGCTGGGAGGAGAAGGGTGGACGACGGCAGCGTGGGAGGCACTGTCATCAAAGTGTGATTGTCTCTGTGTTGGGGGGGGGGTGTCAATTCTCTGTTTCCACCACTGGTACCTCTGAAAAACCATACACGCTTAAATATTCGTGTAGCTAAAGCAAAACATGTGCTTAAATAAGGTGAATCAGGCCCTAAGTACCAGCTCCATGCCTCTTGTCCCTTCCTTTTTCTAAGCAAGATTTCTGATAGATTCCCACAGTGTAATGACTTTGTAATATGAATAAAAATATTTTAAGAACAGAGTTTTGCTCCTGAAATATGAAAGGGTAGGGAATGACAGTATTTGCTTGGTAGAAGACCAGTATTAATGGCAAAATAAATAAAAACTATTAATACAACAGCAGTATTAGTTTACAGACTTAAAAATAGGTTCACATAGGGCTCATACATTTTAATCAAATGGCATTCATTGGTGGCTCCGCTGTGATAACGAGGTAGACTAGAGAATAGCAGTAGGCTGAAGTGACTTGTAAATGACAGCTTGGCACCTAATAGCGAATTACCAAGTTGCATCGGAGGAGTAGTGGGTGTAAACTCCTTTCAAAATCTATTCACTGTTAAAAATTTGCATAGTAGAAATGCAGTATTATCTGGCTGTGTCAGGAATTGTGTAATGCTGTCTATTAACAGCCTGGCCAAATTTCAGATTGTTTTGTAACGTTTATGTCACTTATAATACGGTCTCATGGTGCAATCGGTATTAATATCTTGGCATTTCACCTCATGAGATCGTTTTAAATTAACTTTCTGAGATGTATAAAAAAGGATTCGTTCTCTTCTTACCCTGGCACCATGCTAACCAAACTAGGTGCATTTTGGGATGCTTTTTCTCTTCAGAAATGTTCTGCTATACTGCTTTCAACAGCAATGTATTTTAACCTTATCTGCGTCTGGCCAGCAAGACACACGTTGCATCAGCAGGAAATTGCTGATTTATGAGGCAAAGGTAGTTGATGTCAAAGCTGTAGTTATAGGATGGGCTTTACAGATTGCATCAGTGTGAGAAATTCACTGGTATTTTGCTGAAATGCCTTACATTTATTACTGCATTTATTTTTTAAGGCTACATCACTGATTTTTAATTTTACAATGAAAAGCCAGGATCTGCATAATGGATTTATTTTAGTCTAACATTGGATAAATGTTTAGGAGTCTTGTTAGCAGGAGCAGAACTGTGGTTCGGCCTCGCTACGGTCTGTGTCTCCCAAATGAGATGTTATTAGGCTGTGGCTAGATTGTGATTACTTGTCATCGGTTAGGTCGGTTCTGCTGGCTTCCTTTTCTCTTAAGGTCCGCTGCCTTTCCACGGTTCTTGACTAACATCTGCCTGTGATGCCTCTCCTCTCTCTAGAACATCAAAACTCAATTCATTAGTATACAAAGCAAACATTGCTTGGACACGTATTGCTGTGCAGGGCATCTTAGGGTTCAGTTAAGCACTAAAGTATGGATTTGGAAGCCCTCAGCATCTCTTCCAGGTCTTAACGTTAAGGCAGAAGGGCTCACCATGCATTTAACTTCAGAAGTGCCTAAATCATCCCAGTGTAACTCAAAATAACATGTTCACAATCAGTTTCTAAGGCAGCTTATTAAATTTAAGCATGATTTCAGGGTCTGCTAGTTGGAAAAGCTTCCTTCTTAGGGGCTTGGGTTGTTCCAGCACCGTGCGGTGTACTGCGGATAGCTGAACTAACACGGAAGGAGTTGATGTGTACATGCTAAAGAGTGCAGCACCTTCCAGAGACTCGTTTGAGTTGAAGCTCAATGCATGAGCGTGGTGCTCAGCCCAGGCTAATTTGATTGCATGTTCCAGGTTTGATGTTTTAGCTGTAGAGCTGCTCAAGGTAACCCATTCACACGGAATTTGAGTATCTCAGTACAGCAGTTGTGTCACATAGTCTCACTGCCTTTTGAGCTTTAAGGCTTGTTAATACATAGGAATTGAACTATTTCAGCAAAAGCTCTGTATCACGAAATTATACAAAAGTAGAATGATTCCCCCCCTAACATAGTACAAATGTGATTTTACTTTACTTAGTGCAATGTGCCATTAATATAAACAGGAGAAATAGTGATTAGGTATTCCGTAAATATCTTTACCTCCTGCCAGAAATAAAGACTTTGTTCTTCACTTGAAAGAATTAAGAATTCACTTAAGAATTAAGAAATTATCTTTAGTTGAGTAGGTTTTAGTAATGGAATATGGAGAGCTGATCAGCTCTCTGCTTGCCAGATAATATTCTTTGCTCCCTGAAGAACACATTGGTAGAGGACAGAAAGTGCTGTAATGCACATCTGTATCACTTCAGCAATCTTGCATTTGACACAGATTTACCCCTTCAAACAGCACGGTCTCTGTCTCTCAGTGTTTGCATTTATGTAGCTGCCTTCTAAAAATAAAACCCTGTCAGAACAGGACTGGATTACGGTGCATGGACGATCCTCTCCTTATCTGTTAAGCCTTGGCATTGCGAGTGGTAGGAGCATGTTATCAGTGGTAAAGGAAGTATTTGAAGCAGAATCACTTCCGCCTGCGGAGGCATCAGCTGCCAGGAATTCCTGTTACGAACTCAGCAGTATTGTTTGCTGTTTGAATGCCTTTGGCAAGCTGCAGCCTTCCAGCCAAGATGATGGGCTGCCTTTTAATGGTGGCTGTGGTTTGTGCCTGTAATTGTATGCCTGTAATTGTATTTTCCTGTTGTGTCTTAAGAGTTAGAAGCATTGCAAAGAGCGGTTCGGTTCTTCTTGTGCCTTTTGTCAGCAAAGCCTGTTGAGAAGATATTTTTCGGGGTCATCTTCTTTTGGTTTGCCTTTTTTCTTTTATTTAATAATATTCCAGGGAAGGGGGTGCAGAGGGGAAGTGTGCTTGTGAAGGTGTCTCTGTTAATTATACAGTAACTTTTTTTCCTGAGGTGGATTGCAAAGGAAACAAAAATGGCAAGGCCTGACCAGATACCCTCCTCTGGAGTTAACTGGGGTAGTTTAAGATGTTTCTGCTGCAGCTAAAAGCAGTCCTCTACATAGATCAGCTAGAAACAACAGTAATGGAGGAGTGCTCCCTGATCTGTCTCTGCGTGAAGTCGGACAGCTTAGCTTGAATCTCCTTCTATCAGAGATTTTAAACTAAGCCTGCTCACTGCCTTCAGTGTAG